CCCACTTTGGCTTTAAGGGCATACACACAGGCTGACAAGGACAAACAGTCCATGCAAACAGCTAACTATTTAAGGAACATGGTGACTATCTTAACAAAACTCAAGTGTCACAGGCAAGGCAGCTCAATCCACTCGGAAGAGACAGCAGTTATACTGGCATATACACATTAGAGGACCCACCTCTCTAGAGTAGCTAAGACAGAGCAGAAGGGAGACCATACTATTGTTGATAGTAGATTGCTATACCCAACTTTCAAAAATGGATAGAACATACAAAGATCAATAAGAAAAATGATGACTTAAATACAAGCCAGACAGAACTACAAGACAAACATTTCATCCACAGAAAAATACATTCTCCTCTTTTGAGAATTTCAGAAATGAACACAATGTATTTTCACTATACCTACCTCCCCCGCTTCTAAGTCTTCCTGTCCTCCACAAACCCCTCTAAAACTCATGCCCTCCCCTTCTAAAAACTGCATGTGTACATTATCGAGCCCGATTAGTGTTGCTTGGGTTTAGAACCACTTGAACATGGGCAACGTTAAGGGGCTTCCTGAAGACTGTGGCTATTCAATAGGGGAGAAGGTTTCTGTGCCTTCTCCATTCACCCCACAACACTGACTGATGTGGTCCTGGACAGATATGAAAGAATAATTCATTTCTAACTTTATTACTTACTTCATTACAGAAAATTACTACTAACCTCGAATTCTTAAAAAAAAAAAGGGAACTTTTCCAAACATACTTAATTTAAAATTTTAACATTTATATATATATATATTTACTATGTATGTATGCATGCATGCATGCATGCATAGCCATGTGAATCCAACGGCTCACATGTGACAGAGGACTCTCCTTCCATCACGTGAGTCTCAAGTGCATTTATCTAGTGAATGGTCTTGCTAGCTCCCAAACTGACTTTTATATGTTGGTTTTTGTTATCAATGTTAGATAGATGGGACATGAAAATTCAGATTAATATCGTTGAGTAGAAACACAAACATTCCCAATAAAATACCAGAAAAGGGACTTCAACTGCATATTAAAAGTATTATACAGCCAGGCGGTGGTGGCGCACGCCATTAATCCCAGCACTTGGGAGGCAGAGGCAGGTGGATTTCTGAGTTCGAGGCCAGCCTGGTCTACAGAGTGACTTCCAGGACAGCCAGGACTACACAGAGAAACCCTGTCTCAAAAAAACCAATAAATAAATAAATAAACAAACAAATAAATAAATAAATGTATTATACAGACATTTCAACACAAAAAAATATCAATGCAATTTTTTCCTAATCTGTTAAACCTGTTGTATTGATCTGATAAATAAACAAATCAGCGAGGGGCTGGAGAGAAGCCTCAGTGGTTAAGAGCACTGACTACTCTTCCAGAGGTCCTGAGTTCAATTCCCAGCAACCACATGGTGGCTCACAACCATCTGGAATGGGATCCGATGCCCTCTTCTGGTGTGTCTGAAGAGAGCAATGGTGTACTCATATACATAAAATAAGTAAAAATCTTAAAATGTCAAAAAAAAATCAACAAAATTAAAAATCACAATATTATTTGGGTCCTTATCTATCCTGTTAATTACAAGGAGTATTCATATTGCAGTCCCAATAAAAAGTAAATGAAAATAAAAATATTTAAATCAAATGATTATTTCAATAGCTGCAGAAAAAAGCATGAGAAAACTTAACACATCTTCAACAATGTGTTAAAAAAAAAAATGCCCAGGAGTAAAAGGAAAGGATGTCAATGTAATAGGGGCCATACCCAAAAAGGCCCCCACACGGACAGTCAGACTTGACAGTGTGAACACAAAGCTGTCCTCTAAGACCTGAAGAAGGCGAGGGGTCCCCGCTCACCACTTTTATTCAACACAGCACTAGAAAGTCTAGTGGATTAACTTATGCAAGAAATTTTAAAATATAAAACAGGAAAAAGTAAATTTATCCCTTTTCACAAATGATATCATCATCTACATTAAAACAAAAAACCTCTAAAGATTCTTGATCAAAAAAAGTCCCCTTAGAGTAAATGAAGTCATCAAACTTGCAGGGTATAAAAATCAACATAGAAAAATCAATTGTTTCCTATATAGTAACTGCAAAGAAACTCAACAGGAAATGAATAAAAAAAATGTTTATAACAGTCTCAAAAAGGAAATGCTTAAGAATAAACTTAAAGGAGATGAAAATTACATATACCAAAACCCACAAAACTTTGCTGAAAGAAATTAAGACACAAATAAATAAAAAGCCACTTAATAAACTATTAGACTTTTAATAAAGTAGGCCTTTTATAGGCCTAACTTTAATGCTTATCTTACAATTTCTAGGGATTCTGTTTTTGTTTTTTTTAAATTTATTTCATTTATTTACACTCCAAATGTGGCCCCCCTTCCTGTTGCCCCCTCCCAGAGTTCTTCACCTCATCCTCCCTCCCTTTTGCCTCTGAGAGGCTGCTCCTCCAAGGCTTAGTGGATAAAAACAATCTTAAGGGGCTGGAGAGATGGCTCAGTGGTCAAGAGCATTTGTTGCTCTTCCATAGGGCCCAAAAATCAGTTCTCAGCACCCATATCAGACAGTTCACAACACCTATAACTCCTGCTCCAGAGGATATAACACCCTCTTCTACCTTCAGAAACAATTAATGCACAGGTGCGCGCACGCGCACACACGCACACACACACACACACACTCACTCACTCACTCAATATTGGGTGTAAGAAAAGATAGCTTGATGGGTAAAGTACAAACATAAGGAACTAAATTCAGATTCCCAGCATTGCCGGGCAGTGGTGGCGCAGGCCTTTAATCCCAGCTCTTGGGAGGCAGAGGCACGAGGCCAGCCTGGTCTACAGACTGAGTTCCAGGACAGCCAGGGCTATATAAAACAAAACAAAACAAAAACCCAAAAAACAGATTCCCAGCATTAAAATAGATTGGATGGATGGATGGATGGATGGATGGATGGATGATGGATAGATGGATGGATGATGGATGATGGATGGATGGATGATGGATGGATGTGATGGATGGATGGATGATGGATGAATGGATGGATGATGGATGGATGGATGGATGATGGATGGATGGATGGATGATGGATGGATGGATGGATGGATGATGGATGGATGGATGATGGATGGATGTGATGGATGGATGATGGATGGATGGATGGATGATGGATGGATGGATGGATGATGGATGGATGGATGGATGGATGGATGGATGGCATGGCCACATACTTCTGAAACCTCAGCCCTAGGGGTGAGTGGGGAGTTGGAAGCAGTAGAGACATGTAGTCCTTCAAGTCTTCTTCTAATCAGCCAGTCTGCCTAGTCGATAGGTGAGCTCCAGGTTCAGAATAATAGAGACCCTGTCATAAATACTAAGGTGGAAAAGGATAGGGGACACACCTAGCACTGATCTCTCCCCCGCTCCGCCCCCAATAAAACATAGAAGACCCCAAACAGACAAGAGCCTAGATTAAAAAAGGACAAAGCTGAGGCTTTTTTTTTTACTTCAAATCTTATGAAAAAGGTATAATAAATAAAAAGAATATACTATCAAATGTTATCATATGGCCTTGGAAGACATTAAATAAAGTAAGTCAGAAGTATCAATGAGCCTAGTTACAAATCTAAATACTACAAAACTGATGCAGAAAAGAAAGCAGTGATTGTCAGAATTTAAGAGAAAAATAGGTGGCTACTGTGCAATGAACATAGGGTTTCAGTCATAAAATGAAAATGTCCTGGAAATTATATATATATATATATATATATATATATATATATATATATATATATATATATATATATATAAAATAACAGGTATACAATTACCACACTGTACTGTATGTACATTTAAAATATTAATAGGAAAGAACTTGTTACTTTTTAAAAGCACGATATTTAGCGGGTAGGAGAAATGACACTAGATTACGTCTGGACCCACAGAGTCATCTACTGAGAGGCTGGCTGGACCAGCATCTCCGTTTGCAAGCATTCACATCTTTATGGGACTATTTACATGACTGTCATGAAACTTTCCAGCTTTTTTTTTTTTTATTCCATTTTTCCCTTTCACAAATTAGAAAGGCATTTTCTATCTTTAACCTTCTAATTTTTTTTTCCAGCTAGTTCCAGGATGACGTGTAACAGCTCAGAGAACCTCCCCTGCACATCTTCTCAGTACCTGAGATAACTCATCTGAGCAGGACTGACTAAAACCGATTCCATTTTCCTTATTATATCTGCTTACATGACACTAAATATAGTAAGACCTTTTAATTTTATAAGCTTTATTATTTTTAAAGAAATCCATATAACGAAATATAAATACATATAAATAAATAGCAATACCCAAATCTCCACAAGTCAGTGATCTTCCAGTTAGAAGAGGACTCAAGAGCAGGGGCTTTAAAGCCTCACGCTCACCACACTTCTGTATCAAGTACACGGCGTGCACTCATTCACCTCCAAACAACCCAGGACAGAAACACAGCTCAAGAAAGTTAGCTTTATATCCTTAAGATATAAATACAATTCAACCAGCTTCATATCAATAATCTCAGGAAGAAAAAACACACACACATATTCTCTCTTAACAGGAACCTAGCCAAAAATATACACATGTAAGTAAACAAATGTACAAGTGGGTGAAGTTACGTGGAGGGAGGGAGGGAGGGAGGGAGAGAGAGAGGGAGAGAGAGAGAGAGAGAGAGAGAGAGAGAGAGAGAGAGAGAGAGAGAGAGAGAGAGAGAGAGAGAGACTGTGACACGCACAGAGAGAGAGAGAGAGAGAGAGGCTAACCGTAAGGGACGAAGAGCCCTGGGTGCAGGTAATGGAGGCGAGTGCTGAGGAACACAAAGAGACCGCCTTAAACAGGATGCAAAGTTATCGAGCGCTTGATGCTTCTGACAGTACTAAGGACATACATGAGCTTTAAGAACATGGCTATTAATATTCTGATTTTACTGCTTACTTTTAAATATGCAGCTGCTTCTTGGACAGAAAGCATCCTTTGACTAGAACTGCCACATTCATGATCTCCTGAAAAGATTAGCATATTAATTTGAAGTACAATATTAACCAGAAAAAAAAAAGAAATAGAATTTAAAGTATTTTATAAATTATACAATTATATAATTATAATCAATAAAGCTTGATGAACATTACTTTTATTTTCTAGAAACAATTCCAATATCTAGTGTAAACAAGCAACTACCCATACATAAACCACTACTTTTAAATTAATTTTAGCCTATATAAGAATATCTTCCTCTTATGTTCTAAACTATAAGCCAATGTAGGCACAATGTCACTCTGACAGCTTGTTCTTAAAGGGGACCATCCAGGAAATTCTCTTTACTGACTTACACATAGATTACTAAAGCTAATAATCCAAAGACTCAGATTAAGTCTAAATTTACTATTGCATCGTATCTTCCTGCCACACTAAGCATGGCTACTTTCAGAGCATAATCACGCTCATCGTAGGCAGGAGTACATGTCCCTGAAAAATTGATAACACAGATCAACAGTGAAACTAGGCAGAAATGTCTACCTGTGAAACTAAGATTGAGTTATTATAAAGGGGTGTGCTATAAAAAAGTTAGAGAAATTACTTTCTTTTTTAATATAAACCTTTTTCTAGACTACATGTGGTTATTACAGATATTTTTCCTTGTACTAAACTCCAATTCTAAGTTTTTGCTGCCTTATTACTTTCAAGTAGTTAAAAATACCTTCAACCTCAAAATATAGTAAGGAAAGTGAAATCCTGCCAAACCTTTCTGTAGTGAAAGTCTATTTTTATTTATTAGTTTACTCATGAAGCCAGGATGTAATGGGGGTAATTAGACAGGGATAAGTATCTACTGGATAAATAAAGAAGTCTTCAAACTTTATAATGCTTCCCAGAGACTCAGATTCTACAGGTCCAGAACACAAGTCAGCAAAACACAGCCAAGGGCCAAATGTGGCCTACTGTTGGTATTCACAGATAGAGTCTAGTCAAGCTAGTCTTTTAACATACTATTTACGGTTACTCTCACACTATCATAGCAAAATAAGACAGTAATGACAGAGGCAGCCTAGTCCACAAAGCCTAAAACATTAACTATGGGCACTTCATAGGAAAAAAACTTGCCAATACCCACTCTGGGGGAGGAAATCTACATCTTTAAAAGCAACCCTTGTGTGTTGCTCTGGTAAACCACAGACTGTGCTCATAAATTTGCTATTGAGAGCCATACAGGATTCAGTTAGCAAAATAAGGATTTCTTAGCTATAAAATACATTAGACTTACTTCCAGACTTATTTACTAGAGAATACCAAATGTTACTAGCTGTAGTATATATGAATGAAGGCAAATCAGTATGTACAAAGGAAGCATTTAATGATGTACACGTGAGAACTGTACACAGAATTAAGACTAAAAACTTGAGCAAAACTATGGACTCAAAGATCAAGACAGATAAGGCAGGAGTGAGCATCAGGACTGTCAAGACTTCTGTTTAACCAGGAGTCACACTGTATCTGTCCCCCAGAACTCTGCCTAGGACCCCAACTGCACACAGTAGTCTGCTTCTGCAAACCCTGGAAGGTTCCATCTTTGTTTTCAAATCCTTTATAAGAAGGGATCCAAAGTCATTTCTTTCAGATTATATGTAAAATGTTAGTAATTTGCATATTGAATTGGATAAACACAAATGCTATTATGGTAACTTGCAAATCTCAAACTTTTTTTTTTTTTGGGGGGGGGTCGAGACAGGGTTTCTCTGTGTAGTCCTGGCTGTCCTGGAGCTCACTCTGTAGACCAGGCTGGCCTCGAACTCAGAAATCCGCCTGCCTCTGCCTCCCAAGTTCTGGGATTAAAGGCGTGTACCACCACTGCCCGGCTTTGCAAATCTCAAACTTAGTAAGAATCCGTTTAATAACTTCACTGAATTATTAAGACTGCAGATGCATTGATGGCTAGGCACTCTAACAGATTCAAAAGCAGAGTGTGAAAAGAATCTAACTAAAAATACAATACCTTATTTCCTTTAAGGAAAGGAAAGACAACTGCATAATCACCAAAAGGTCTAGACCTGTGTATCTAACCCAAGATTTTAATTAATCACGTTTATCCAATTCAACTGCTATTTAACCCTTCAAAATTTGTTATACAATATATACAAATATATTACACAATATTTATAAATAACATCAAATATATATATGACAAGCAGAAAAATGATCTTGCTTCCATCTGTATAAATTTAAAAAAAAAAATCTCTAAAGAAAAGTACTGTATAAATATGAGCCTGTACTTAGGCAAGACTACCATTACTGACAACACACAAAACACGTGGCTAATGTTAGAAATGTTTTGGGAGACAATAAATGCTAAAATAATACCTGCGATCTGGGCCAACCGATCATGAAGTTTGTACAATGTGCTCATCAAAAGATTTTTTTCACTTTCCTAAAATTAAAAAAAAAAATTATGAAACACAAATTTTTTAAAAAGTCTATAGTTTTTAAAAAGGAGGAAATCAAGCTAAAATGGTTAAAGACATATAATATGAAAGGCAAAGCATATGGAAACAATACCTACTATACTTTAAGAACGTTACCATAAATTATCACTGTATGTATTTTACTTCTTGAAAACTAAACTGACACAGGGGGCTGGAGAGGTGGCTCAGGGATTGAGAGTTTTTCTCCCAGAAGGTCAGAGTTCAAGCCCAGCATGAGCCTGTCAGGCTGCTCACAATCTTCCACAACCCCAGTTTCATGGGATGTGATGCCTCTGGCCTCTGTGAGCACCAGTACTTATGTGCACACACCCACACACAGACACACACACATATATACAACACTGTTCTCACGTGCTACCCCTCCTGTAGTCATCACAGCCAGCCCTCCAATCCCACCTGTGTAACAAGGCACACTGCCCGCCTCTCCTCCAGCTAGCGTACATTTCATGTGTGAGTGCCTGATTTGATTTGTGTACAGACGTGGGGTTGCACACACACGGGTATACTGCCATACCCCTTGTAGTCAGAAAACAAATAGGAATGCTTTCTCTCCTTCCACCATGTGTGTTCAAACTCACATGTTTGACATGTTTGCTGGTAAGCACCTTTAGCCACTGAGCCATCCTCCAGCCCCTCACGGTTTGTTTAATCTGACTCCACCACATAGCTAAAGGAACGTGCGTTGTTACTTTGACATACATCCTGTCCTCAACTTTCAAGATGACCCTTGGATATAACTACCAGTAAAGTGAAGCATGCAATGACGTTGAGAAGCAAAGATCTATTTTCTCAGAGAAAAGTGAGACACAACAAAGTATTTCCCATTCTCAAGAACACCACCACCAAAACACCATGCAGTATCATACTGTAACTGCCAAGTCCAACGCAAACAGAGAGACAGGTCAACAAAAGCCCATCTGTGTAACAGAGCATTCAAGCTGGGCTGCACAGGAAGAAGAGAGACTTGACCATCATTCCAGCCAGAGGGAACTGCACAAGCAGAGGTACAGAGGCATGATAGCACTGGTTACACTTCTTACAGAAGCAGTAGCGAGTTGAAGGAAACATAGCTTAGAGTTGGCTGCCACAGACCCCTAGGTATGAAGAAAAAGAGTTTGGCTTTATTCTGAAAATTTAAGAGAAAAAGTAAGCCAGCTTTGTGCATGTCTAGAATATTGCTCTGATCAGAAGGTGGAGATGCTATGGAGTAAACATGGTGGGGTCTATATAATCTATCACGTAGTCTAAACAATGATATCCAAATTTAAGAACAACTGTAACTAAGATAAACCTTTGCAAGTTTAGAGGGGCACACTGAGATAAAGCTATGATTATCAGGGGAAGCCTTCCTGAGCACAGGATTTATGGATGAATCCGCTCATGGAGCTAGCTCAGGCATGGTTAGAAGGTGTAGACTGGGACACGTACACATGCCTGAAGACATGAAGCTGCATCCACCCTTTTGTCCCCACACTTATGTCCAGGAAACAAGGACAACAAGCTTCCAGGCTCTGTGAAACAACACTCTGTCAATGCAAGTACCATCAGGGAAGGAGGAAGAAGCCTTCATCAGAGGCTCCAAATCCCCACCTCATGTCCTCTTTATGTCTCATGATGACAGACAAGGTATCCATCCCTCCAGGTGGCTGCTTGTTCCCAAGCTTTTGCCACATCACCCTTTTATTGACCTCACCCTTAGGTTATTCTGAAACAAGGCAATTCCTATCTTCATACAAAGTTAAAAACCCAAATGTAAAGCGGTAGTTTATACCTGTAATCCCAGCACAAGGAGACTGAGACAGGAAAATAGCAAATCTAAGGCCAGGGTGGACTATTTAATAAGACTATCTCACAGATAGATAGATAGATAGATAGATAGATAGATAGATAGATAGATAGATAGATAGATAGATAAGATAGAGGCTCTGCCTCAAAAAAAATCAACAGATAAAAATTCAAACTGCAATAATCACACACCAAAAAATAAAAGTGGGCCGAAACCCAAGAGTCTTAAACTGAATCTGCGATTCTACAAATTACTAAAGAAAATAGTTATCTACTTCCAAGGTTCCATGAGTCCACTGTACTAAGTCTCAACTATAACACTATGGAATTTTTAGACTCGGTTGTCAAATTCACTGCAAATAAACATCTTCACTACAGAATATATTGAAGAGAATTATTCCAAAGTCCCAGTCCTAAAAATCTGAAATAATATTCTACAGTCTGACTACACTTTATTATGTGCTCTTAAGAGACAAATAATTTTGATAGAGATCTATACAATGGTCAGACTCTACAGTGAGAAATCAGCAGAGAACTATGTACTGCAGTGCTCACTTCAGCGCTAAGTATCTAAATCTGCAGTGTTTATCCTATGGCAAGCAGAAAGGATTGGATGTAAATAAAAATGTGGTTCAAGTTATTACATCATCCTTTGAAAAAGAACCTTTTAAACAGCCTTGGTTTTTTTTTCCTTTTAAGCCTCTACTTTCCCGATCCGTCATCGCACCAACAGAACAAAGATCCAAAAAGAAACAAAATGAAGACAAAGCAAAAGTCTGCTAAGGCCTCAGACAACACAAGGCATACTCTTAGGTAGGAGAGCCAGATCCATGGCATGGCCGCTCCCATTGGGTGGGGCACTTGTCTTTACATTCGGTTGTCGGGGGCAGCTCTGCATCAGACACATTGGAGGTAGGAATCCTCAGAGTGAGCAGGCTAAAGGGCCTGACGGTTACTTTCCTTAGTTTACAGTCAGTTTAGTACTTTCATCATTTACAACATGACATACATTATAAGCATTAGGATCTTTTACTTACTTGTATTTTTCCAAATGTTTCATCAAAGGGGTTTTTTACTATCAAGGAAAAGAAAGAAAAAAGAACTATTAGCATCACTCCAGCACGTCAATCCTAAACAAGTACCCTGAGAAGCCAGCACATGCAGTTCCACCAATGCACATACAAAACCAATGTAAACCAACCAGAGGTAAAAAGCCGGGAAAGAAATAAGACCAACTATGCTAGACGTTCTCACTTTAAATTCATGGTCTTCTCCATCACAACTGAAAGCCAGTGTTATACAAGGAATGGATGATTCACAGCTCTGCACCAGTCCTTAGTAATACCTCCTTAAACTACGGCCTTGCTCACTCTCCGCTGATTTCCTCTGAAGGAGGAATAACAATTGCACGTACCTGATCCAGTCAGGTAAGGACTAAGTGAGACAGCCCTATAAATGCCTGGCACAGCAGCAGCAGCTAGCACTCACTATGCTCAGTATACACTAACCATCTTATTATCACTAAATATATCATGGTTCTACCTTAACCTGCTGCTTTAAAACTAAATAGTTCTTTTAGCATTCAACCTTCTAGTATCTACCAAAGAGAAAACAAACAAAAACCTGACTCTTTGTTAACATCTAGAAAAAATGGCAAGGAAAAAATAAACATATCAAAGTAGCTGACAATTAGATTTTAGTATTTGACAATCAAATATTATAAAGGAAATTTATAGTACTTTCCATGTAATCTTTCTCTACCTAAAGTCTCCCCAAAACATGATGCCTGATAATAATTTAATATATAACATGTCTCAGAATTACTCAGACTCTTTCCCATATGACCTATTATTTATATGTCATATACATATATACATATGCATGTGAATATGCAAACTTCACAGACACTTGATGAAAACTCTTACTCATTTTATACAGACCGTATACTACACAATCCAGGCACAAGGAAGTCCAACGGATCTCATAATGTAGTTCACATTGACCAGATTTCCTTTCTGAGATGCTTTTCTATTTTTATTTGAGAAAACAGGAAGTTCCATAGGAACCAGGAACTGCTTGATTCCAAGAAAGTTCATGTACAAGACCGCTTTTCAAGGTACAATTAAAAAGCAATGGAAAAAGTATATCCTGCTATCAGACTTTCTAAATGACCATTTAGATAACTTTTCTCCTATAACAAGAAGGTATCAATGCTGGGAAAGAAATATTTTTGAAAAGTAGAAAATCAGAAGTTCTCAAAATAGGAATAGAAAATTGAGTTTTTTTTCTTTTTTAAATCAAAGCACATGGATTACAAAGTTTTCTTTCTTTCTTTCTTTCTTTCTTTTTTTTTGAGACAGGGTTTCTCTGTATAGCCCTGGCTGTCCTGGAACTTACTCTGTAGACCAGGCTGGCCTCGAACTCAGAAATCCGCCTGCCTCTGCCTCCCAAATGCTGGGATTAAAGGTGTGTGCCACCACCGCCCGGCTACAAAGTACTTTTTAATAGCATTGATTTTTAATGTGAAATCTGAACCCTCTAAAATAAAGCTATATAAAGGTAAGTGTGCCTGAGAGCAGAACATATGTAAATCAGCCTGCACACTGCTGCTCTGAGGGCTGCTCACAACAGGCACCAGTGTAAGGCACATCTATACGGATGGAGACAAGTACACTTGGTGCTGGAAAGGCTTACCATCATCTAAGCCAAAGCCACAGATATGTGTATTTTGCTCTGTGTTTCAAAGGTAACTGTGTTAAAACTCTAACAGAAGCTGGGGGAGGCTGTCAGAAGAATTAGGAAGGCAGGAAAAGTAACACAGAAAACAGTCACGTTAAAAATGACTGATGTCTTTTCTTTTATATCCTAGATTTGTGCTCCAAGCCTAGGGAAACTGAGAACTGGCACATCTAAAAAGCCAGGGGGATTTTTTTCTGCTCTTCAGTTAATCCCCCCCTCCAAATGTCAACAATTGACACATAATAAATTGATTTAAGAATGATAAATGAAAGACTTATCGTTAAGTTTTAGAAGACAACTCTATGTAAGCACAGCAATTCCTAAGCAGTCAGCCCTCAAATTGAAGAAGCATGTTCAACACATTTCTCTTCCCTCAAATCATTTTAATATTTTTAAGACACCAATATTCTTAATTGAAGCTGTCTGATCTTTATGGAGAAAAAGAATTATCATATGTTTAAATACCCACAAATATTCTTATCAATAGTGACCTACCTAACAATCTGGAGGACTGTGGCAATTGCAGAGAAGACCCATATCTCAAGAGCATGGGACAGCAGAACTTTATCACTTTCTTAGCTGGTCTCTTCTCTCAGGAGGACTGAGTGAACTACAGTACTCACTCTTACCCGACAGTGACCGTGCTCTCCCCGAGTGCTTCCCATCCTTTAAAGGCACAGTGAGCTCCATCCACACTGTGGCTGTCTTCTACCTATGCTTCTCACCAGCTCACATGGTTCCTCCTCTCAGACTCTCCCAGGTTAGCCATTTCGTCTTCTACAACCATAGACCGCTCCAAGTTATTTCAAACTTCAGATATTCTAAACTCTTCTTGTACATATCCTTAATACTTTGACTTATCTTTCCTTTAAATTACATTAATGACTATAAATCAAATTCCTAAAATGTTTAATTTGATCTTCAAAATCTTCTACTGGTTCCAGAAGTTTTAGCTTATAAATTTAACAAGACACACTTTTATTTTCCTTCTCCAAGCTTGTTACCAATTTCAAAAATATAGTTTTGTCAAAGCTTTCAACAAATGTAAACACTTTTTCCAGTTTTTAACATGAATATTTACCAAGGACTATGACTTCCTAAACAGGAATATTGTTATGAACATGACTTGGGATACTGTAGAGTATGTGCTACTCTTAACCAAACAAACGGATGATCTTTCAAAAGGACTCCATACGGGTCACAAGTGCCAGTAAAGAGATCGGTCCTTTGAGTACTTCATGCTCGACAACGTAAACCTGGGCACTCAATGAGTAAGTGTATTTGTCCCAGCTTAATTTCTATAGCTGTGATAAAAGACTGATAAAAAGCATCTTGGAGGAGAGGGTTTATCTGGCTTACAGGTTACAGCCCATCCTTTAGGAAGCCAGGGACAGGAGTTCACCACAGGCATATGGAGGCAGGACCTGAAGCAGAAATCATGAAGGAATGCGGCTTACAGGCTTACTCAAGCTACCTTTCTTATACAAAGCCCAGCCCCACCTACCCAGGGCACCGCTCTAGTGGGCAATCAAGAAACTGACCCAAGAGACATGCCCACAGGACAATCTTTAGAGGCAATCTCTTAACTGAGAGTCCTTCTCCCCAGGTATGTCTAGGTTTGTGTCACACTGACAGCCAGAGCAACAGATCCCTGCCCTCCTGAAACTTATGTTCTACAGAGATTCAAAGAAACAATGAACAAGTTAATGTTAAAAATGCATCTGTGCCAGGTAGGCCTAAATCTTTTCGATGGAAACAACAGGGCTCGATTGTGAAGGAAAGAAGCTATCTAAGTAAGATAATCAGAGAAACCCCTCCCCTCCAATAGCATTTCAATAGAGTCCTGGAAGAGCATGCCATATGGCCCTCAAATGTGAAGGTTAGACACAGAGAGACTGTAAGGTACTAACAGTGTGGTACATTACTCCTAGAATGAAGTGGGGCAGCACAGTCAGAATATCCTACAGTGGAACAGACAGTAAGCAGTCAGAAAGGGAGACTGGAAGACCAATGAAGGGAGTCAGCAAGTGGGATCTTAAACAAGTTTAAGGCAGAAACCTCAGAGAACTGGAAGCATTAGTTATCCAGTTCACACTTTAAAGGACCAGCACATGTAAAAAGGACCAAGTCTATCTGGATCGATACAATTAGCTTCACAGTATGCACTCAGTCTTCTACTCTGTGCATTTGGAATTAAAGTAAATTACAGTACACAGAAAGATATTTTTCCCAGGAAAATTCTAGACATTTGCTTCTCCTGGTAATTTTCATTCTCTATGTTCTCTGCTTTCTCTCTGCCCCAAGAGTCAAGTCTGCAGCTACAACCGTGAAGGCTGTGCAAGTACTGTAACTCGCTGCAACGTCCTCATCTCTGACCCTCTGTAGTCTGAGTGCCTTCACAGCCACACAGTTTGATTTAAGTAGGTGGTGTTTTTTTCTTTCTCTAACAAAAGCACAAAAACTTCTCTCTTCCTCTCTCAACACCTGGAGAAGTCTGGTGCTAAAGACATGAAGAATAGACAAGCTGAAGGCCCACGTCTCACTGACACCAAAAAAGTCCAATGACCTGACTACTGGGCAGTCCTCTCAAGTGACAGCAATTACTGCAGCACTCCTGTACTGGGAGCTAGCTTGTTGACACATAGTTTAAAGTGCCTCACTTAATACAACACCAGTGTTTTAGAGATGTATTACCAGATTTTGTTCGGAGCCATTGACCCAAAAAGGTTGGTTACCTGAGATAAATATACTTTTGTTAACGGAATTCACAACAAAATTAAAATCTATTTATGTATGACTCCAAAGGCTATCTACTTCTCATTATAAAAACCATGAAAACTAAAGTATTCTTCTACTTTTAAAAAGCATAGAGCATTTTTCTCTTATCCTTTCAAATGTTGAGTTAGTAAGCTTCAACTCCTTATGATCTAACCTGTCAAAACCAACAGATCCATGGCTAGAGAACCTCATCATCTGCTCGAGAACCTCAGAGGCTCTTAGGCGAGGAGAACATTGCAAACCAGTCCTCAACTACACACACAAGGAGATGAGTGTATCCGTAGTGTATCCCAGGACTGTCAAGCTAAGAATCAGCCCCAGCCTTCCTCTGCACAAAAGCACCACATTCACAAGACTGCTTTGGAACATACCATGTGACACCAGTTTTTAAAAGCTGTAATTACTCAATTTAGTATTGTGATAGATCATTTAGCTTTATCTTGCAAAGCAAAACATTACTGAACAAGTATCTGCTCTATGCCACTTGTCAGGCTGAGTTACAGGAGTTAAGAATAAAGATAAGTTCATTCTATAGAGCAATGACTCTAAAGACATGGG